GATGGCGCTGATGTCACCGATGTATTTTCTTAATCAGCGCTTTTCATCGCTGCGATAGCCATGGACACATCGCAGCTGAACGAGATTCAATTAGATATGTTGCGCTACAGCGACAGCACGGGACTAGTCCCATACGCCGGTATGCCTGTTGGGAAGTGCGGCGAGTCTTCCGGTGAAGACTTCAGAAGTTAACCCAATTGTCGATGTTGGTAAAAGGCGGCCTGTGTCAGTCATTTGCAAAGCGACGTGGATGGAAACAAATTGCCGCGGTGTTTTTCGCGGCCTCGGAGATGCAGGAGCGAGCCGACGTTAAAAACGATACGTTTGAACTACGAGAGTGTCAGCAAGAGCCACGTAAATACCTGTTCACACTCGGGGCGGACGCGCGCGTTTGATGGAAGTGCTGTATTCGCGCTGTTGGTAAGCGCTTCGGGACCGATCTTTTACGATTGCAGCTCGATACTGACGCGACACTCGGCAAAGGAAGGTTGGACCGGCATTGCACGTAGCTCCCACGAACTGTTATAGCTCGACAGTGACGTGCAGTCGTGCCAGAATAAAAATGGCATACTAAAAACAAAGTGTACATACCGTGTTACGAAGGTAATCCATACGGCGTTTATTTGAGCTCTATATCACACAAAACAAGAAGATAGAATCGACGAGAGTCCCTTTTCGACGACAGTGTTCGTCAACACTGCCTCGAAAAACAAGGGGAAGAGATTGACCTCACCCCTTAATCTAAAATTGAGGTCAGCGATCCAAATACGGGAAGGGTCCAGAAGGGTCGCGCGGGCATATTCCATTCAGCACGCCAGCCGGTCGTGGGCAGACGGTTTTGGCCAAGTGCCGTCGAAGCAACGCTGCGCCGGAGTCGGAGTGCCTGCTAGGCCTATCTGCCGAGCTCGCTTGGTCGCGGGTCGGTGAATTCGTGGCCGTTCTGGCTTTTCTCGGGTGTTTATGGATCCAGCGTTCTTGTTCGTCGTGGTCTGTTTCAAGTAGGGATGCCGCGAACTTTTTTCGAATCGAAGTTTCGATGATCGATTCAAGCGGTTCAAAAGGTCCGAAAGATTTCGAATTTTCGAACTTTCCATATTGAGAAATTCGACGGAAGTCGAATTTTCGAACTTATTAAACTAAGAAGTTTGACGCTTTTCGAATTTTCGAACTTATTACGCTGCAAAATTCGATGCTTGTCGAACTTCCGAACTTGAAAGACCAAAAAATTCGATGATTTTCAAACTTTCGACTTTCTTGCACTAAAAAGTTCGAAGCTTTTCGAACTTTCGACGTTCCTAGGCTAAGAAATTCGATAATTTTCGAACTTTCGAACTTATTCATCTAAAGAATTCGAAAGTTGTCGAACTCTCGATTCCTGAAAAGTCGAAAGTTCGACGAACTTCGAATGTTTAAGATAAAAGTTCGAAGTTCGTCGAACTTCGAAAGACCGGCGGGCGCTTTCATTTGGATTCAAGCAGTGAGGTACATTCGTAATTTTTTTTTCGCAATTTTACATGGGGTGCCGCATTCCTTGCGAAAGACAATGCCGTTTATTTCAATCATCTGGCATGCTTGGTTTTAGAAAAATAGATTCCCGAAGGAAGCAAGGAAGGACGACGGGATTTTGACAATTGTCGTTTGTGCCATATATTTGAAGCGCGCTATAGCCGCAGCTATTTATGGTAGAGATGTTAAACTTTTGAAGAATTATCTATATATAGCCTAGGTGAGTGTCGTCTTAAGATTATTGTTATTCAAGGCGAGTTTCAAATAAATATCCAAACATGTACCGACGAACAATTATGCCCTAAATTTGGTAATTTTTTTCGCCTACATTGTTTGGGTATCGCATTTAAATTAACACCAGAGACAGCACATGTCATTACCATCTGCAGAATACAAAATAATGTATTTATTGTTTTTTTCACGTTGAGAAAAATATTAACTCATGGGGGAAGATTTCTAAAATTGTTCAAATTCAGCGCGTCAAAAAAAAAAAAAAAGTATCATAACCGGCTATGCGTGATGCACCCAAATAAAACCTAGTCTTCTACAGTCCATTGCAACTCAAGAAGGTAGGCCAGAGAGGAGAAAGCACAGGGAATATATTTTTTTTTCATTTTGCGTTTTTGGGACATGTTTCTTTTGGCCTGTACAGATTTCGGTAGGAGAAACTTGTTTCATAGTTCTGGGCCTCTGAATATGCAAGAATACAACATTTCCGGCGGGTCCTTGATCGCGCGTCCCGACTTGAAACAGCAAGAAAAAAGTAAAAAGTACTTGAAACAGACCACGACAAACAAGAACACTGGATCCACAAACACCTGTAGGAGCCCGCAACAATGGCCGCAACACGGAGCTTGGGTCACGAGCTTCGTGACGCGGGTCACGCGAAAATAAAAACGTGCGGCAGTCGGAGCCCGAACACCAATCGATTCGGTCGTGTTCTTTTCCCCATAAAAGGGTTTCCTTTCGGCGTGTTTCTGGGTTTCAGCTTCCTGGTGGAGCGTATCTTCGCGCCAGCGGTCCCGCCCTTCCACGGCCGAGGCGCGCAACTAACCTGCGCTGCGACTTATTCTTAGTATGACGGAGGCTAACCCAGGAATCAAAGTTTAATCTTGCAATGTTATTCGAACAGTGCATCGCTTTCTGTCGCCGGTGAGCGCCATACTTTCTTCCCTCCTACGAGTAAAGGCTCATTTCTCACTGCCGCAAAGTTCTTACGTTAAGTTACGGAAGATTACGCTGAAGTCACCGGGACCTCTGTGCTTCATATTAAGCGAGGCTGCCAGTTCAAGGAGAAAGCATGACAAGCGATATTTGAGACACGAATGTTTCAGTGAGTTATACGTCACGTGACTTGACGTAACAAAATGGGGCAGTGTGAATGAGCCTTTACACTCTCAAGAAAAAAGGGTGTCGAAAGGTGTATGGTTACACCCTTTGTCCCATATAATACACCCCAAAATTTCAATTCGACGTACAGCGCCCTACAGCCGAACAGACGGCAAAGGGTTAACGGTACACCTTTTGACACCCTTTTTTCTTGAGAGTGTAGGCGAGGTGGTAGCTTGCGTCCTTTGATCACGGGCGGCAGGACCGCTGGTGCAAAAATGGGAAACCGAAACCTAAAAACGCGTCCACATGAAATGTATTTTTAGAATGCCGTAAGAGGCAGTACATACCGTATATCTTTCTAATATAAGGTGACTTAGTTGTTTTCGATGATTTCCGGAAAGTTTATAATTGAAACCATATTACTAATTAAAAGTTAATTATAAAAAATAGTTAACAAACTAATGATATATCGCTATGCCTCGGACCAACCAAGACGTAAAAAAAAAAAAAAAAAAAATCAAAGACAAATACATAGCCGTGTAAATTGTATACAAATTATTTCAACTTTTAGATGCAATGTCTTCAACTTCTGCGCGATGACTGAGGAAGTGCAGCGCGACGGCAATGAGCAGAACCTAACATACCATACGCACCACTACGAAGCGCTGACCCGCGTTCGAATATCATCATACTGGCTGATCTCAGCAACAAACATCAATATCACAATCCCCCACAACTATGTCAGCAGAAGAGATTGAAAATAACAGTCCTCGTCTTGCCTTTAAAATTATAGCACCTGGTTTAGTAACGTTACGTGCAGAGTATAGACAAACGCACTGCTTAAAAAAAAGGTGGACATTTTCCACACCAGGTGTCGGTGCTGCGCATGCAGCACCGACACCTGGTGTGGGCAAGCCCCGCAGCTGCGGCATGACAACAGCAACGCCACCGCTGTAACATGACGTCAGCGGCACATATTGGTCCATCCGCGTGTGGCGGCCTCTTCTGTATGTTTCCGCAAAAGCATATCAATAATACAAATTTTGACGGTCCCTTTAAAGCCATTTTATTCTTGACTCACTAACTTTTGTTTCTCTGCCCCCTACTCTTCAAAAAAAAGAAAACGTTAATTTAGTTTCAAACTAGATTATTATAGGCTGCTCATGTTCATCTTCATTGTTAATGCCCCTATACGCTTGATAAAACAACAACCAAACAATCAAGAAGTGAACATTGGTGAAGGGCAGCCCTTTTTTATCACACAGAAAGAGCTGCAGTTCTTTACAATACATAAACGGACATACGTACCTGTTTAATATCCAGAAGATATGACATAGAAAGTCAAAGAAACAACGACATTTATTTCCGTAGTTGCACTGAGCATCAGGAGGACATGGCTACTGTACATTGAAGAACTCTTGTGGAAATTCGGAAAATAGCGCCCCTTGACTAGCACATGGATGTCTGTGGATTATTTTAATCCATTGCAAACTAAAGTTATTCCAGTACTCTACGTTGACGGGACCAGGGGATGCATACAGTACTTTCACTTATACATGGCAAGAGGAATGATGCATCAAAGGTCAATTGTTTCTACACATCAGGGGACGTCTCTGCGACGTAATGCCATTAACAAGCGGACCGTGCGTTTCCACAAGCTAAAAGAAAAGCGCGTGCGGGCATGATAGTTCAATAAATACCGAAATTGTACCATACTCTGTCTCATCCTACGATGGACTAAAGGCCAAAGCCACGGGCCGCCATGTCCAATCATGTTCCACGATATGACACGCTTAACATCGATTAGGGGTGGACGAATAATGCTCGAATCCAAAAGCGCCGCATCATTTCTATAGCTTCGACGCTGCAAAGAGCTTACATCTCGTGACTTTCTTTGCGATGTAAAATTGTTGAGTCACTCAGTGCTCTTCGATTCGAACCACTGTCCACCCGTCCCCTCATCAGTGATCCGAGACGCGGGCGCCGATACGTGCATCGAGGCGAAATACCGCACAATTTCTAAGTGGCTTCTGATTGGATCTGGCGGTCCGTAGCTTTTGCCTTTAGTCCATCGTAGGGTGAGACGAAGCATAAATAGCTTTTTACGCATCTTTGTACAATGGCAAAACCAGCACTTACTGCTGCCTGCTGTTCCCATTTATTAAATAACCTAGCATGCAATGCTTACAACCACCGCTCTTTCTCATTCGTATTTACGAGGTTGCATTTTCCCGTTCTCGTTCTTTGTGTACGATACGTTTTCACTGGCTGAGTTTTGCCGAGGCTTAATGTAGCTGTGGTAGTAGAAGTTAAGGAACATCCCCAGTACAAGAAGAGCTTGCGCGACAGCGAATGGTACGAGCTTTTTAGGGAAGCCACAGTCATAGAAAAGTGGAATACACATGTGAATGATGAAGACAATGAACTGCCAGATCTGCAGTGTGGTTAGGTAGCGCTTCCACCAGAGGTACTGACGGACCTCGGGTCCGAAGGTGGACAAAAAGTAATAGGAGTACATAATCACGTGTACAAAAGTGTTGATGCAAAGTCCCAGGGCGGGCTGTCCTTCTGGGGCGACGAGGACCCAGAACCAGGCGTTGAAGACCACAAGGATGTGATGAATGACGTGCAAGTTGGAAACCTGGTTGAACTTTTTGCGGAGGACGAAAAAGACGGTGTCCAGGAAGTCGGCGTAGCGCACGATGACGTACCACCATCCGGCCTTGTAAAGTACGGCCATCTGGCTGTCCATCTTGCCAGTGATTCCCTGGCAGAACAGGCTGTAGCGGCCACCCGGTGCGTACGTGAATTTGAGCAGGAGGTAGAGAAACCTGGCGTTGAGAACGACCATGCCCAGGTTGTACATGCGTATGATGGTCGGAATCTTGAAGGCGTCCCTGGTCTTCATCCATCTTGGACCAGCGATCTTAACGAAATACAAATAGACAAAAATCAAAGGAAACACGAAAGCCGGGCTCAGCACAATGCCATAGTCCCGTGTCCTGGGGTCTCCGTTTTCCTTTAGGTCGTTTAGGTATCGCACCGAGTTCAGAACGATGGACATTCCCGGTGTCTTGTAGTAGGTTTCCAACCAATGAGGAATCTGTAAACAAATAGAATAAATGTTAGTGACAAATTTTCAGGCTTTTCTTCCTGATACATTCTTACGCAGTCGGCAACGGTACTTGAAGGGCTACCCTTTTTTGTACCTTCTCTTTGGACACGCTACGATTGCCGAAAGCGATTACACAATAGGAGTGTAGCAGACCGCGTTTCTACGGCTCGAGGGGTTTCACAAATGCATTACACTCCACAAAAAATCACAGAACATCGTTATACACTCTACAATCAGTTAACCATTGGTTTTAAGAGTCTCTCTTCTCCTACAAGTCAACATTCATTATCAATTTGGATAAAAAAATCAGCTCTAAATTGAGCAAAAGAAGCTTGGAATGTTGTTGTGGTAGCACTCTTGTGCGCACGCTCTGATGCCATGTGTACAGCTAACGCCAAAAAGTCACCAGAAACGTGGGCAATGCTTTGAAATTTCTCCCATAGTTATTTTACGTGTACATTCATTCTTAAGTTGATATTCAGAAACGCAACATTTTCTTCTGAAAATACAGGAGAGTTATAAGATGTGCCACCGTAAATATAAAAAAAAAGCTAAATTATTAAGTACTACTGAGTCTCGTAAGGTACTCTGCGAATATGAGATGCGATAGAACGCAATAACGTACCTGTGTCCTCCCACGGGCGGAAGGCAGATGGAGAAGTGTGATCTCAAGCGGCGCCAAACACCAACTGAGCTACCGATCCGTGTCGCTGTCGGTACTTAATCTCACTTAAAAGCCTGGGACCGATTTGACGGCAATTCGCCTACGTCACACGTCTTGGGTCCTCCTCTCTCAAGATTCCAGGGAGACCTCGAACCCTGTGACAGACCGACCACGTCGCGCAAGCCCCCCCCCCCCCCCCCCCCCCCCTCCCATTCTTTGTTTCATGAAAGGGCGCCCATGGCCCGCTGATGGTCGCAGAATAATACCCAGGGCTGTTGTAGTTTCCTTTCGCCTGACGTGTGAGACAATTACGAGGAACGGCACTGAATTTCTGGTGGCTCGAGGAAACGACGGGAGATAGCCGAGCGTCTGACCTTGCCGAGTGTCCAAGTGGCGCTAGACAATGGGGTACATCTCTAGACCCGGCGGCCGTGACCAGAATTATTAAGCCGTAATTGCTACTTTGGAGTGGACCCTGGGTACTTTAAGAAAGTACTACAGCCTCCCCCCCCCCCTCCTCCCCCCCTTCGGGGCCAAAAAAAAAAAAGAAACAGCAAAAAAAAAAAACTTTTTTTTTCTTAGGTGAGGAACGTGCTTTAAAAACGAGAACTACCTGCTTTAAAATAAATGCAAAAACAACAGAAGTTTGTTTCTTCTGCACCTCTACGTTTTATTTTGACGTCACCAAAAATAGTCCCAAATGTTTCTTTTGTTTCCTTTAGATGGCGCAATGAACTTTTTACATCTGCATTGAGCAGAAAGTTTGTTCAAGACCCTACGCGTAAAATAATGAAAATAAAAAAACAAAAATTATATGAATGCTGAAAATTTCCTTGTGTAACTTACTAAGCACACAATTTCTCCGAATACAAAAACTGCGTGCAACGTGCTTCTTGCGATTAATTCACTTCTGAATTTTAAATTAGGCGTTCCATCATCCTAACGGTGTGGTGTTTAATTGCGTGAGTACGCAACCATGGGTATTTTCTTCACGGCAACCTTGTTGCAGCTTAGTTAGTCGTCGAGGGTTGGCGCGATAACTTTTCGATAACCTGAACTCTAATTTACACGACGTATGAAGACATGAGCGAACTTTAGGGAAATCCTTAATTATTCTGGAGTGTAGGAAATGCTGCCACTTATTCTTCCCGTTAGTCACGCAAGATATCGGCACCAGTTCCGCGTGGATAGCTTTTCTTCAGCAAGGGAACAAATTGTAGGAACTAACTGGCCACTCGCTGTAGAATGTGTTGACCGCAAATATGAGTTCCGATTATTTTATTTACGACATTGGGAAGTGGAATAGACAAATAACTATACTTTTGATCCGCATAATTTTCTGCTCGCTCATTTGTGCAGACACTTTAAAGGGGTGTAGGACAAAATGATCCCAAACAAAACGGCCCTAGAAAAAATAGTCCAGGTCAAAATGGCTCCAAACAAAATGTTTCCGGACAAAATGGTCCCGGACAAAACTCAAGCGGAAATCCGGACAAAGTGGCCCCATGTTATTTCGTGGCACTTTGGGCTCTCTTTGATAGTTTTAGTAAACTGCTACTCTGAAGCTTTATTCAACAAACGCGTAATGTATTTCTGAATGTCTTCAAGCTTTTAGTGATATATCTTAGGAAACAACTAAAGAAGCCTAAACGGTAATTAACGGTCAATTATCGATCACTCAGCTTTATGACTCCTATTGCTTAAGTTAGAGCGCTGTAAAAAGCTGGAGCCTGAAAGTCACTACACAAATAAATACGCGCATTCTAGAAGAGCAATTAAGTTCGCGAGGCACCCTCTGCGCTTTATTTAACTAGCCGACGGTAAAATACGCAAAAAAGTAGACGAACACCATTAGTACGTATTCTGGCTACAGTACTGCTTGATTGGTCATTACATATATGAGCTCCTGGCGTCAACTGCACTATGACTTTAGTAAAACAGGCTATAAGTGTGGGAGTAAAATACTCACTGCGATAGCATTTTTTTTAAATTTTGAACTAGGAAAATGTAGTTGCAAGAAAACGCATGCACATGATGAATGAAATACATTATTATGCGCAGACAACATACATTGTGATTTCGTGTTATGGGGCTACCTTTTTTCTTTCTCATGTTGAATATATAAAGTATTATAGATACATTATTTGATATATATACTTATACATTATATCTATTCTATAATATATTTTTCCCTTCTCCTTTGTTTAGCTACTGTCACGCAATCTGTTTTAAATAGAATATATCAACTTTAATATGATTAGCGTTTCATAACTTAAGCATTAAGCAAAACATCTTATTTAATGTCCAATTTTGCGTCAAAACCTAAACATTTTCGACAGAGGTCTGTCTGGTTCGCGAGAAATTGACAGTTTTTGTGGACTCTGCCCAAAGTATTATTAAAAACAGATAAACCCGACGTTTCGGGACCCGCTCGGTCCCTTGGTCACGGGTGACTATAGGTGGGGGCGTGGTGGGGAAGGTTGCCCAGGTGGTTGGCCTTGGTAAGGCTCACCCCAGAGGGCGCGAAGTCCGGACACGTACGCGCTCGGGAGAGTGTCCTTGGACCGGTTCACGTCCTTACTCGTTGTTTGGATAAATCAGGACTCTAGATGTAGGCGTTTCCTCCAATGTCCCTTGGTGGCCACGATCTGGGTCTCGTCGAGGTAGAAAGAGTGCCCCGTTTTTTGCTCGTGCTCTGCCAGGGCTCTAGCCTCAGTGTCTTTCTTTCTCACGTCGTATTTGTGTCGTCGAATACGATCCGGGAAGTTTTTCGTTTCCCCCACATAAGTGACCGGGCAATCCGCGCAAGGCACGCGGTACACGAGACCTTGAGCTCTTTCCCTTCCTGGTCTGGCTTTGGGGAGAGGAAACCAAAGAGAAAACCAGCAACTAAGCAAAGAACTCTGTGACGTCAAAAGAGAAGTCGTAGAACTGAAGCAATGTTCTAGAAACATGAATCTCGAAATTAAAGGGCTACCTATTCTTCCAAACGAAAACTTGCAGAAGGCTGTGGGAGAAATTGCGACCTGTCTAGGCGCCGATATTTCTGAGGGAGATGTAAATTTAGTGCATCGAGTCCAGTCAAAGGACAAAGGGAAGCCGAATGTGTTGGTAAAGTTTTCCTCGCGCACAGTACGTGACAAGTTTTTGTGTGCGGCCAGGAAGACGAAACTCAACACAAGTCTTCTAGGCTTCGAGTCAAACAACCCACTGTACGTAAATGAACATCTTTGTGTTGAGAATAAGATTTTGCTAAGTAAGGCTCGCCAGGAGAGGCGACACAAGAACTGGAAATTTGTTTGGGTGAGACAGGGCAAGATTTTCATGCGGAAGTGTGAAAACTCTCCTGTGCTGCATGTGACGTGTGAAGGGGACCTTGCGAGAGTTGTGTAGTCGTCATAATGCTAGCGCCTTGTTCTGTGTTCTTAGGATCATTATGCCTTACACTTTCCAACAGGTTGACAATTTAAAGCTAAACCGTGATTCTTTTTCTTTGTTTCATAGCAATGTACATACGCAGTCTAAGAAAAAATCTAAATAAACTACTTGCATGTATTTCACGGCACCAACAAGCATATGGTAGAATTGCTGTAAGTGAAACATGGCTTCAATATACTGAAACGGCTCTTATACCCGAGTATATATTTTCCTCCTTTCCACGGGTCGCACGTACAAGGGGAGGTGGCGTTGCATTCTTTGTGAAAGAGGACATTGTCTTTGAAGTTGTACATACTGCCTCTATCAGTGATGAACATATTGAAGCACTTTTTATTAAACTTCCTTATGGTCTAATAATTGGAGTAGTGTACCGTCCTCCAAGCACCGCAATGACACCTTTCTTAGACAAATTCGAATCGGTTCTTGTACAAATAACTCATAAGCATACCGGCCGCATTGTAATCTTTGGAGATTTTAATATTGACTTGGCAAGGGATACGCACAATAATTATACTCTACTTCTCGAATCCTTTAGCTTACACAATATTATACGTGAACCCACTCGTATTACCAGTACTTCGAGTACGTTGATCGATCACGCGCTTTGTAACATCGATAGCCGTATGTGTGCCGGAGTTTACTCTGACCCAATAGCGGACCATCTGCCTATTTTTGTTGTTTTGCAAAACCAGACGTCTGTAAATGCGAATCTTTGTCCTAAAATACGCACCAAGGTAAACTATGTCCTACTTCGAAGTATATTAGAAGAAACAAATTTTTATGCTTTGTATAATCATGACATCAACAATGAATATCAAAACTTTGTTCATACTCTTAAAAACGCAGC